TTTAATCCTAACGCACTTTAGTCGATTTCGCAATTAATGTAATCAGTTAAGTTTTCCCTTCTACTTTAATAATTTTACATCTATTTAAGATTTAATATATTATACAACGCATGCAATCGATTATGAAATTCATACAAGCGAACAACTAATTAATATGACCGTTATAAACAGTTAAGGCTTTAAATGAAATTGATTTTCGCAAGATAAATATTTTAACTGGCTACGAAACTTATGTAATTGATTATATTCAACACTTAATTAAGCAAATTTTCAAATCAATTTCTATTCCAAACATATCAATGCATTCATCACACACATGTTGGCATAACGTGTTTTAATCGATTATATAACCAATGTAATCGATTACTACACAATTATTTTTCCCCTGTTAAGCATATACTGATATATGAAAAAATTTAACAGATTATATACAATGTCTAATCGATTTTTTCTACCAGAAATGTAATGTGCAACATGTTTAAACTTATGATTCATTTACACACAATGAATACATGTATCAAGCATTTCAAGCACAAATGCAATAATGATAAAACAATTATTATGTCATTTATTGTGCAAGAAACCATAAAAAATTTCTTTTGTTCAATATCAAAAACATATACATGAGATATATATTGCTAGATATAGCTCCCCTATCAACAATTTTGACTGGATTTTTTTATTTTTATGCTTCACATTGGCCTTTTTGTATTTTTATGTCTCACATTCTACATACTTAACCCTTATTTTTTATAAGAAATTTAAAATATTTTATAACAAAACATGATATAGAATTTTAAAAGGACACTAGTGTAAAATAGACTTTTTATAGCTACTGTTTATACCGGTTCAAATTTATCAGGTATAAAAAGTAATGTAATGGCAATATCGTAAATAAGATAAATTCTTTTACACCGATTATATTGAAAATCGGTATAAAAAATACCTCTACACCGGTTAGAATAAAAATAGGTATAAAAATTCATTTTTTATACCGACTACAACTTTAAACCGGAATGGAATATTTAATATTTTACCCGCTTTCCCTCTTCACTTCCTTTCCCTGCTTCTTCACTTTCACGCTGCACTCCTTCTCCTTTGCTTCTAAATCGCCAAATCAATCGTGAAAACCCTCATCCTACTGGACTGCGACTTCTCTCTTTTGCTATATTTGGGAGGTTAGGGTTCCGCGACTCATCTAGAAGCGATTGATGCTGAAATTGAGGCCATTCTCGATGAGGCTCGAACATCATACGCCACCCACAACCGAAAGCTCATGTCACTCCTCCGAGCCAAATCCTCTTCTTCGGTCTTCTTTTCCGCCTTCTCCAGAACCCTAACTCCTCTCATTGATTTCCAGAGGCACCTTGCCTCTGTTGAACGAGTCGTCTCCTTCGTCTATGCCCTTGCTGCCTCCGCCTCCGACGAGTTCCTCGATTGCTTCCTCAAGTTCCTCCTAGCTGCCGCTACGACATCCAACAAAACAGCCAGATTCCGAGCGTGCCAGATCGTCTTCGAGGTAACTGATTCTCACAATTTCCAAGCACTATTTAATTGAGTTTTCTGAACATTACTGAATTTTATATATATCAGTCACTGAAGGGATAGTTTTATGAAGTCTGATACTGAGGTGAAAAATGCTTACAATTTCAAGATTTATGATTGCACGGAAGATTGTTAAAATTAGAGCTAATATCTCGGATTTGTTGAATTTTAGATAATATTGCGGCTTCTAGATGACGCAGAAGTGAGCAATGAGATATGGGATTAGGTGATTGAGTGGATGATGGTGAGGGTACGAGACAAGATCCCTGTGGTGCGTAGTTTTCCCCTCATGTCATTAGCTAATGAGTGTGCCAAATGTCATGGACTAAAAATTGGGAAGGCAGTTGATGATGATGATGATGTGGGGAACTACTTTGTGATTGCAATGGTGTTTCCTGCTAGTAAGGTTTGTCCTATTACTATTTTTTTTTGAGGATTCAGCACCTTCTTTTGTATCAAAGTTTCCTAATGCTAGTGGTTTGTCTTCTCCACAATTTGAGGATTCCGCATCTAGTGTGCCAAATCAGAAGAGTCAATCACTGATTTCATCTGATGTCAGCTTAGCAGTAAGTGATGAAAGTTCTAAGCAGTCACTTGAGACATGGGCAACTTCATGGTTATATTCTTGATATTTAATTTTAGGGAATCTTGTAAGTATTCCAATGTTTTCAGAGTGTTTTTTCCAAGTGATATGAGCTAAGAAGCTGTCAGTTACAAGTTACAAGTTAGGAAATAGTTGATTTTTCTACTAAGATAAAAGAGAGGATTAAACAAGTTACAAGTTAGGAAATAGTTGATTTTTCTACTAAAATGATGGTTAGATAATAGTAAGAATTATAATTATCACACACCCATCAGGTGATAATTCAAATTCATACAACAAGCGCAAACAACAAACAACATAAAACGGGTAGGCTAATGTTAAAGAATTAAGCATGGGGCTCCATAAAACATCACATATTACATTTAATCCAAAATCAAGCAAACATATTGACCCAGACTTGACCATCCAAATACAAGTATGAATGTCAAGCTATGACGAGTCATGCACTTGTGGTGGCCTCTACTACTCTGCAGAGCCATTATCAAATGGTTTTCAGCCTACCACAATAACAAGATTAGTCTGTTCCACGTCTTCGGCCAAGATGAAGCACTTAAAATAGGACCGCCTGCTACTCTCACCACATGTTAGCCCTTCTCTACTTGAGAATGTGTAGTCGTTAGAGTGTTAGGATAACCCCCAAGATTGAACTCTTATATTCATACATACAATACTTGAAATTGGGGATGGCAAAAAAAATTGCGCCCGTGGATACTTGCACATAAAATCTGCTACGAGTAATTGGTACCCACGGGTTGCGTGTAACGGGTATTTTAATACCCGTTTATAAATGGGCCGGATGCAGATATTATACTATCCGATCCGTCGGTACTTGTTACTTGCAAAAAAAAAATTAATTTATATTTAATTTAATTTAAAATAAATCTAATTTATATTTTATTAGATTAAATTTAACTAAAATTAAAATTTAGTTTATATTTTATTTTATTTATATTAAATTATATATATTTTTTTAATTTTATTTAAATTTTATTTTAAAAGTGTAAAAAATATATATATTTTAATATTTGCAGGTATCTCGGATTTAAAAATATCTCTAGAGGTTTTTGAAACAGGTACTCACCTGGGTAGCGAACGGGTTGCGGGTAGAATTTTCATTTTGCACGTTGGGTTGTGGATAGACACTATCTGTACCCGACTCGACCGATTGTCATTCCTACTTGAAACCACCATTTAGAATTTCACCTTAGAAATTCTTATCCAACCATACTTTAAATAAACCATCATTTAATTTAATAGATACTTCTAAACAAACTTCAAGTCCTAATATAGTTCAAAGTTACAATAAAACAAAAGAAAGAAAGCTTCAAATCTGAACAAGTCGTTTAGCGCCTGTCCTGGCCCAGGAAAAGAACTCCTCTCACTCAATGAGAAACCACTTACTCTAGGAATAAAGAAAGAGAGAGTTCTCGTCCACTGCTACAACAAACTTCTCTCCTCAAACTAACGCACCAAGCCCCCAAAGCTCACTCTACAAATGCAGAATTTCGCAGAATACCAATTGTGAAGAATTTGAACCTACCAACTTTAACTTCCTTATTTAAACATAACTCCCGTGTATATGGATCCAATCTCACTATTCTAAACTTAAATTTTAATTCACCAACCTGACTAAGCTTTTAACTCCCACTTTTGCCAAGAATTCATACTTACGGTATTGGCACTGCGTAAAGTCTATGAAACGAGCTAAGGAACCATTCTTCAACTTTTAACTATTTTTCTTTGACAAATATATTCTTTTAATGATTTTTCTTAACCTATTCTCATCTTTATTTTTATATTAAATTTTAATATATTTTAATAAAAAATTATCAATTGTTAAAAGATATATTTTATATTAATGTGCATTTCTTATCATAAATACAAATATAATATCTATGACAAAAAGATATTTATTTATTATATACTTAATTACATAAATTAGATATTTATGATGTATATATATATATATATATATATATATATATAAATTTAATATTAATTAAGTATATTTTACTGCGTATTAATACAATATTAATTATATTTTTTCAAAAAAAAGTAAAAAGTTAAAAGATAAAAAAAATGTAAATAAAAAAATAAAAAGTAACTGAAAAATAAGAAATAACTTAAAATAATTTGAAACATAAAATTTTAAATATATTGGAAGAAAATATAGGGAAATGTAAGGTATTTGCTGTATTTTAAGTGTGATGCTAGATCCATAACTTTTCCATAATGAAGATAAGATACTACCACGTACATTAGATAACGATAAGACTTAAATACAAAAATATATTTTATAATTTTATTAAAATTTAATGAATATTCATTATTCTTTTATCCCGATATTACAGTAGTCGTATAACAAGGTGTTTTGCCATTTTTGTGAAACCTTTTTCCTGTTTATATGTCTTTAAGACGTTTTTTTTCTTTAAAAAGATTGTAGACCTATAATAATATGAAAATGAAACATAAACAAACACAAAAAGATACTAGAACAAACAAAATTGTAAAAAAAAAAAACTAAAAGATAGGGAAAAGAAGGTCATACCAAGATGAAATAATACGTACCTACCACATTTAATTCGTTGGATGATAAGTCCATGTTTTATTATGGTACACCTTCAATAATATTTGTACGTGATCGATAACCAGATAACTATAATAACAAGAAAATAATATTTTCTTTAATAAATCAATAAAACTAACTATTATTGTTAATGTACGATTATATTATAAGTATTTTCACGTAAATTTTTTGTGAACAATAAATGTGAAAGAGATGCACCATTCATAGAATGATGACTGAAGCTTTATAGTGCAGACAGAAGGGTCATGTCCATAGGTAATTGTGATCATAAATGCTATGGATGAGTATAGAAGAAAATCCATGTCTATTTATTTGCTGGGATAACTCTTTCGGTTTCTTACTGCAATAAATCAACGATGTGGTGGCTGTTCGGAAGAAAAAACTCTTCTGGTTTTTCATCTTCTTCTACTGCCGAGGAAGTCACTCAAGGGATCGATGGCAGCAACCTTACTGCTATTGTTACAGGTTCTCACTCATTTTTTCTTTATTACTTGTTCTTTTTTTAAATTTCATGTTTCAATATCATCAAAGTTGATCATTCCATCAATGCTTTCAAAAAAACATTGGAATTTTCTTTCAAATTCTGTTAAACCGGACAGCTCTTCTGTTAAGACTGTCATAAATCCAACATAAAAACAGGAAATACATGCCTATTAGTCTTTGAACCATTATTGGATCAATTCTAATGAAAAAATCATTTCTCCAAATCTATAAATTTTATAGGTAAGAAAAGAAGGTATGGGATAATTATGAATTTAAAATTTGAATATAAGTATTTACCTTGAGAGTACTTTTGATAAGTATTTACCTAGTTCTGAGACTTAGGTTAACAATAAAAAGACTAAAAAAAAATATAAAGGAGTAAAAAAAATATAAAAGAGTAGATCTCGATTAGGAAACAACCATATATGATTGAATATATATTTTAAATTGATTTTATCTCTAATTAATCGAGATTTTTAATTCATAATTTTAAACCTACGGAAATTTTGGAATCTGTTTTTCATTTTGTTTGTACATTTATGTTGTTGTTGACAATGAGAACAAAAAGGTGCAACGAGTGGTATTGGCAATGAAACTGCTCGTGTTCTTGCGATGCGTGGTGTTCATGTAATAATGGCGGTCAGAAATTTGGTTACTGCAAAAGATGTAAAAGAAGCAATACTTAAAGAGATTCCTAATGCTAAACTTGATTACATGGAGTTAGACCTTAGTTCAATGGCATCTGTTAGAAAATTTGCATCGGACTTCATTTCATCTGCTCTTCCATTGAACATTCTTGTGTAAGTGTAGTTACCTTACAAAAAATTTACTTGCATTAATTCATAAAGTAATAATGTATTTTTGTTTATTTGTTGCAATTGTAAGAAACAATGCAGGAATTTTCGCAGTCCCTTTCACTCTGTCTGAAGACAACATTGAACTGATATTTGCCACAAATCACATTGGTAAGAAATGGATCCTATATAAGGATGTGTTTGTCCTTATATCCTTATGTTTTGTCTTAGCTTATATATTTTAAAATAAAATAACTCTTCAAATGATTATTTTAAAGCACAACCTAAAAAGATGTGTATCAATGTTTTAAACTAGTGGGAGAAGAAACATGATATTTTTTGTAAGATGAAATTAATTTTAAAAGAAATATTAATTAGTTTCTACAAAAAGGATATAATAATCTTTTACTTATACATTTATACTTAAGTCAATTTTAATCTATATATAGGATTTATCTGGGTCTTATTTTCTTATGAAAATTAACCTTTAGCATAATTCCACAGGTCATTTCCTATTAACAAATCTGTTGTTGGATACTATGAAGAAAACAGCTCACGAAAGTAAGAAACAAGGAAGAGTCGTTAATGTCTCCTCTATACTTTATCGATTACCGAGAGGAATCCGTTTTGATCAAATTAATGATCCATCAAGGTAAAAGAGAAATTTATGATTGACAATTTATTTTCATAATTTATGGAAAGATATTTTTTAATGACAAGTCAAATTTTATAAAATTGAATTAAATTTATTTATTTTTTAAACTATTACTTAATTATATAAAATTTAGGATTAAATATATTTTTAGTGTGACATCCCATTTTTAATAATAAAATACTACTAAAATAAATATTACATATATGATAAATTAACTAATATAAGAAACAAACCTACGAAAAATAATATCTACACCTGTAGATTCTTCTGACTTCTTTACTGAATCCCCTCGAACACCTATCGCTAAAGTAATTGAAACAGATGTCTCCCTAAGCTCACACCAATCAGGTGATCATCACAAAAGAGAAAACATACAAGGACAAACAACAGAAAAGTAAGGATAAGTTAGTTTAAACAAAGATTAATCATATACTCATTTACTAAGTTTCATACAAGCATACTATTCATTTACACCACATAACTCTTCATACATAACACCACACTGACTTTGACCGTCTGGACTTTAGAATGATAGTCGAGCTATGACGGGTCTTGTACTTATGGTGGCTTATGATACTTGGGTTTCCCACCCTACCACACTCACAAGGTTAGCCTGTTCCGGGCCTTGAGGCGTACTGGAAGCCCCCAAGACTAAGACCTCCTGCTACTCCTCATGACATGGTTCAATCCTCTCTATTTGAGAATGATTGCCCATTGGAGTTTCAGGATGACCCCCAAGACTGAGCTCCTATTTTCTTTTTAAACAACTAAGAATCTCACCAAGAGATTCAAAACTTTGAATCACAACATAGGGCACCACCATGTATCCTCTCCTTGAGGATCATGAAATTACGTCCATTAACCATACTTTGAAAATAACATACTTTCACTTTGAAACCATACTTCAAGTCTTGGATAATTATAAAATCCATTACATATAATCTTTCACTTTTACATTGCATACAAACATAGATATAATGCTACTTATACTTCAAAAGACCACAAACAACTTAACAAGTCATCAAAAATCACATGAAACCATTCCATGTACGTTAACAAACAATAACAGTCCAAGAAGACCCACTAAACAACACAAAACCCCTTAAATTCATACTTAGACAAGGAAAATAACTTTGAAACCATCACCAACAGTTTCGAAAAGGTCCAAAGCCCCCAAAACGACCTAAAGAACGTCCAAAAGTGATACCCAGAACCCCGATAACCACCCAAAACTGTCTTGGATGATTTTCCGACGACAATAATCGATTATCATATGTGATAATCGATTATTTGCAAGAGATTTGAAGAAGATACAACTCTCTAACTAAAATAATCGATTATCAAGTGAGATAATCGATTATTCTTATCAGTTTTTGACAACAACTTAATTTTTCTGGTTTTGGTGCATCTTAAACATATCCAAGTGATCAATTTAGAATTTGTAATACTAATATTGATATGGAATATATTTATAGATGAAAGTAGAGTATTGCATTGGCCATTTAGATAGGAATTAAATGTACCAAACCAACTCAATAACTCAAAACCTCCAAAAGAGACTAAAACCAACCTAAGATGCAACTTTCATCTTCATGACAGATTTTCACTGGTTTGAACCTCTATCCAAATCCTAATTAGTATCATAACATGTTCAAAACTCTGCAAAACATATTAAACCCCTTATTTCAAAATCTCACTACTCAAAACCTCATTTTTCCACTAAAAATACTCTAAACTTCAACTACACACTACCTTTTCATTACAGATTAGATTTCAATCATATTATACTTCCAACAAGTCTTAATTTACCTCATGATAGCACCTCAAAAACAATTTTCTCACATCAGCCCCAAATTCTCAAACTCACATATGAAAACCCCCATTTTTAGGCTTAAAACTCAATAATTTGACCAACTCTCACTCCAATCACTTGAGTTCAGTTTTCAAACATCAAACCAACATTATCACACAAAATCTTAACAGCATAGAACATCAATTTCACACCATTCCAATCATACACACATCATACTAACAAGATCACAAATTAACATACACATTATACACCTAATCATACATATTTCTAAAAATCATCTATAAATCAAAGAAATACTAAATTTATAATACTAACACAACTAAACATGGTCTAACTTCCCTTAACTAAAACTCTTCTTCTTCTCGGCAGCACTCAAGATCAGGAGACGTGGAAGGAAACCCTTTTTGAAACCCTAAACCCCAAATCACCACAAATCAGAAAGAGGAAAGAAACCCCAAATTCAAACTCTAAAATGATCGGGAAAGAACGTCGTGTCAGAGTCACCGAAAACTCACCATGAAGAAGTCGCAACTCCATTGTCGTGAAGAGAACGCCGCTGCCGTCGCACCCCTGAATGGAGACAATTGCATCGCAAAGAGGAATGAGTTTCCTGCTGCAACTCCTTTTCCCTCAAGCCCACATCCTTCTGTGACCTTAGGATTTTCAGAGAAATGAAAGAAGAAAAAGGGAAAGTGATGAGAGAAGAAGACAGGAAAGAGAATGATAGAGGAAAAGAAGGAAAAGAACGGATCTTTACATTTAGTTTTTTAACTTTTAGTAAAAACTAAAACTAATTTCTCTTAAAATTTATGGATCAATTTATTTTCATATTTAAACCTGTCTGAATTAGTTATTTTAATTAAATTTTGTTAAATTTATTTGAAATTTTAAATAAATTATTTTTTACAAAATTTAGTTAAAATAATTAAATCTACGTATTTTTAAAATTAATAGACTAAATTAAATCAAAATTTTAAAAAATATTATTTTCAATTTTTACTTAAAAAAATATTTAATCCTACAATAAATTATAATAAAATTGTTATTTATTACTCTTATCATATTATCTTTTATTGGACCATTACCATATCATCTATTCATATAGTCACTTGATATGCATATACATTTAAATGAATAAGAAAAACTTTATATATTATTTAAGGAATTTATTCATAGAAAAACATATGTGACGGAGACTTCAACTTTATTACCATTGCCAATTTAACTCCAAGATTTGTTTTACTATGGATAAGGAAAATATGACTCTAAACATTAGTTTGTGAATTTTATTGTTATATATCCGTGAAATTGGGTCACATTTATTATTTATGGATTTATTAATATCAACCATATCATAACGCTATCTTTTTAATGTGATTGTGATAGTATTGATGATGACTTGTGTGTATAATCATGATATGATGTGAAAAGGAGAAGAAGGAAAGGAAAAGAAGAACAAGTTTGTGCAAAACATTATTAACACTAAATCAGAAAAGAAAGTTACAAATAAAATACAATGAAAAACTTTTATATATAAGTTCAAATATGCAAGAAAATTATTTATACTCGTCAGATTTTCTGATACATGACTTGTAGAATTTTAGACTAAAAAACAAAACCTTTTATTACAGAAAATGTAGTTTTATGGTATGCTATATAATTCTCCTTATGCGCAGTTACCATATGTGGTTTACATATGGACAATCAAAGCTGGCTAACGTTTTACATGCTAATGAACTTGCAAGACGATTCAAGGTATGTACACAACTATTATTTTCAAATAAATTTATGTTAAATATTTACTTTCACATCTTCACATATTCATATTTTATCATTTCATAATATAATATGTTTATTATAAAAATATGGAGAATCACATCAAACAATAACAAAAATTACATACACAGAATATAAACAAACTATATATATATATATATTATAAAAATAAAATATAAATAAATATATAATGATAAAACATTGAACCACTTAGTCATAAGTATTAGATGATATTATGGTCAAGTATACGGTTATTTAATGCTAAAGTTGGAATGGATGTTGGGAGAGAGGGTGAGTTTAATTTCCCCACCAACAATTTATGGATATAAGGTTGGTTTGAAAGAGAAAAAGGTTATGAAAGGTTGGTATTATTTTAGTCTAAAAATAGATATATTTACAAAAGATATTTTAACGTTTAATTCAGAAACTTATATTAAACATTATATTAAACATTAAAGGAGATAATAGATATTATAATAATAAACATATAATCTAATTATCTCGTAAAAGTTTCTTTTATCATAAGTTTATGAGATTTTACCAAGCTAGACAGAACCTCATAAATAATTACTTTAGTTAACTTGTTTAATGATTTGCTAATAATACACTTTATAACTCTTAACCTTTATTACTTACAGTTGATCTTTTTATCATAATATGATGTTGCCGATATGTTTTCGATCATTAGAGAAAGATGATGTCAAACATCCACTAAAAATAACCCCAAATATATAGGTCAAAATAATCTTGAATAGATATAGGACATAGTCAAAATCTAATTTCATTCAAAACTAAAAACTAGTTAGTTGAATTAATGTATCTATATTTATTAAGGCACAACCTATATTTCTAAGTCTTTTTATTGCATGTTTAATCTTGCATAGACTTGTATTTAATGAGTAGTGATTTCATTACAATTGTACATTTCAGTTTCAACTTGAGACCTCCATTAATTAGCCTAATAGTATATACGTCATTGTTTTCCTCTTTGTTTTGGTCACATTTTCTCATAATTTGTTAAGGAAAAATGGATCCGGGTTTTATTGGAATAAATACGATTATAGATAAATATAAGCACTTCTATGTGTTTAAGAGAAAAAAAGATACAAATTTAAATATATGAAGAAATTTATTGTATTTGTAATCTTTAAAGAAATTAAGAACAAACACAATGATAAAATAATAGATTTAATGTTCTAATATGGGAAACAAGTTTAATAGTGACTTTATGTTATTCTTATACAAAACTCTTTAAAATACAATAGGTTTTGCCATATTATAATTACTTGTCTCTGTTAGTGAAATCACTTGTTTTTGTTATTGGATGTTCTTGATCAGGAAGAAGGGGTAGATATTACAGCTAATTCTCTTCATCCAGGAGCTGTTGTCACCAATATTTTTCGTCACACCAATATACTGTCTGGTAATTAATTTCTCTACACATTGCACTATTTTTTTTATACATCTCATTTCTAAATTGGGAGTTAGAAAAAGAGTAAGAGGTGAAACCCACCCAAATTTCTCTGACTTTAATTTATTAGTCTTTTATTATACTTTTTACTCACCTAATTTTTTTTTAATAAGTATTTTTTGTTGGATTAGTCATTTTATAAAATATTAAAATGCAGGCTCCCATGAAATTATTTTTTTACGGAATAATTATGTAACATGAAAAATCCACAAAACTATTTTTAGTAACTCAATTTTTATTTAGAAACAAATTTGAAGTGTTATTTGTTAAGGAGATTTTGTGATATTTTTGTGTGAATGAAATCTTATGTTTGATTGATTATAAATCTAATTTAAGACTATTCCCCTTGATTTATATTTGAATTAGAAAAATTTTGTTATTTTTTTAAATTGAAAAAAAAATTTATAATTAAGTGAGACAGTGAATTAACTCATTTAATCCACTAATCCGTGATGGATTGAATCGAATTTGAATTTTTTCAACTCACTAATAAGTAAACCAGATTAAGTTGACTCACTAAGTAACCAACCCGTGGTACATCAAACCGAATGACCCGTTTTAACCACACTAATTTCCTGATAATATACATAATTAATAATTTTCTTAATTGTATAGTACTCTAATAAAAATCCAATGAGAATGAGGGAATAATTTTATGTAAATAATTCATGCACTTATTGACAGTTTAAGGGTTTTTTGTTTTTATGCAGGTTTGATTAATACGGTGGGTAGACTTGTCTTTAAAAATGTCCAGCAGGTAAGTTAAACAAATATGAAAGACAAGTAATTGACATGAGTTATTAATGAAAATATTGGAGTTTTACTCTTTACAATGTTGTTGATTGTTTGTTACTTAGACAAGCAAAATTTTATAATAATATTTATTATTTAAATAATTCAAACTCAAAACTTGTAAACGTAACATCGTCACTTGGCTATATATATCACTTAGATAATTGTAATATTATTATATTAACTATATTTACTCAAAAAATATAATTGTTAATATAATCTTTTACACACGCATAATCTCAACTTCCTAGAGTTATATTTTAAATGGATGTATACATTTTTTTCAAAGAAATCTACCATTTTCATCACATCTTCTCTAACTTAAAGCTATTTTTATGAGTATATACTTAATCATAAGTTTACTTTACCTCATAGATAAAGGTATGGGTTAGTGGTAAATTATTGAAAAAAAAAATCATGAAAAAAGTTCAACAAGAAGTTTATAAGTCAAACTCAAACTTCAAAACTTTAATCAAGTCAAACATTTTTAAATTTTTGACTCATTCAAATAACATTATTTTTTTATAACTCAAACTTAAACCATATCAATTTAACTTGACTTATTAACTAGATTATTACTTCTTCGTTTTTTTAAATGTTTTTTTTTTGAGTTTGTAGTATGATAATATTAAGAAATAATATAATTATCCACGTTTTCATTATTTTTAAACTAATTCTTTAATCACCTCATTGGTTAATATTTCTACAATTTAACATTTTTTCCCCTTTTTCTCCCTTTCATAAATATTCAGAACAATTAAACATTAGGTAAAGAAAATATGTAATCTATAAATTTGCAATTAATATTGTTTTCAACTTTCAAAAATGAGAAATCCATATATAAGCTTTTACTTTTTGGAAAAACCAAACCATAAGCTGAGGAAAAAGTAATAAAATCATTTTTTTTATTGAGATTTTTGCATTCTAAATTAAAAAAACTCATCTTTAATCGTCTCAAAAGACTTGAACTAACAAATCCTTAACATGAGATTGTTTTAATGTTCCAATTTGGCTTTGTTCTCCAACCTTGATGTAGGGAGCTGCAACAACATGCTATGTAGCATTGCATCCACAAGTGAGGGAAATCAATGGCCACTATTTTGAAGATTGTAATGTTTCCACAGAAAACTCACAAGCAAGGAACCCTGAGTTGGCCAAGAAATTATGGGATTTTAGCTTAAACCTCATAAAGTAGAATACCCAAAAGGCTCTGTGGAATAATAGCTTGAGACCTTTTCAATAATTAATTCACACATTTTGTGAATTTAGTCATGAGTTGTCATTTCTGACATAATTAAATTTATGTGAAAGTTCTTGTTTGATGGAAGGGGTTTGACTTTTAGGTACAACACCTAAATTAATTTTTAGTTTACTTTTTTTTTAATATAGGTTGCGATGTTAGGATTTAGATTTGATCATTTCATAGTTATTTTGTATTAATATATATTTAATGAGTGAATTCTAATGTTGTTATTAAGACATTTAAATTATTTTTATAATATTAAAGAAGTATTATAAATCTAGTCAATAAATCAAAAAAGTTCTTTAAGTATTAGGTTAAATAAGAGGGATACATAAAAAAAATCACAAAAAAGACAACACATTAAATGTTTTAGTTAGAGGTTACTATATACTTCGGTAAAATATTTTGACATTTATGATGGGACAAGTAAAATTAGTAATACACCAGACTTATTTATTTATTATTCTTTTTATAGGGAGGACATAATCAATTATATTAGTTTGATGGATGAGTCATATAAAGAATTTTTACATGGAATATTATCAATTTTTATTATAGTAGTTTTTTTTAATATTAGTGTGATCTAGCTTTTAATGTCTACCATTCAAGGTCAGATGGAAAAATAATTAACGTAAAAAATACCAATAACATTATTATAAGTAAAATGACTTACACGTTGACCATTTGGTGGACTAACATCATAAATCCATTTAAAGTTGGCTTTGATAGTCCATCAACATTTAGGCAGTTACTCTCTTCATCACCATCAAATCCTTCTTACACCTCTTCAAACCTTTCCAATTTTTTTTTAAATTCAAAAGTACCCTTTTTTTACTTTAACTATATTTATTTACTTTTTTTACCCAAGATCAAACACCATGCCCTGCAAAACAAGTAACAAAAAATTAATGTTATGATGAGATCCTCACATTCAGAGCATGCATTGTCATGATTGTTGACTGCTGACTGGTGAACACAATAAAAGCAAAAGGCTGCCAAGACACGAAAACCACATCAGTGAAACGATTCACATAATTCATAAATAAAGATACCCAAGAAATTAAAATTGCAATCAACCTAAGACGAATTGCTGAGACTTCAGAGATGTGAAGACTCGTAGCAGGGAAATTCGCGAAAAAGATTGTAGATTATGCAGGGCTTTACATCTTCTGGAAGGCCAGCGATGAAAAGGGTGCAAACCTCTTTTGTGGAGGGTTGAGGAGCGTCGTACGAACCGAACACCGCTTGTTGTTGATGCTAAGCCACGTATGGCGGATGTCCGTGGTGCACCGGCAGGACAACCACGCTAGGTGGTGGTGGTATCACCGCCAACAACGGAGGAGGTTGCGGAGGCGGCAGTTGATAGTACTGGTGGTAACTGAGAAGGCCCGCCTGTTGGGGCTATGAGTTCACACGTGACAAGCCCTGGAATTTTGGTTTATATTTTTCTCAATTGTTTCATTCGGTTTGGGGGCTTAAACGGATGTCAACATCCATTTGTCCTTCAATCGGATGTCAACATCCGTTTGTGCTTCAATCGGAACTCAACATCTGTTTGTCCTTCAACACATATTCATATCCGTTTAAATATTACTCAAGGGTAAAAAAAGGAATGAAGAGGTGCAGGGAGCACTGTGTGGTGGTGGAGGGAGTAACTCTCCAACATCTAATATGATGTCGAACTCCTACTGGACTTTGTAAACAAAATGACCAATTGGACATTGATAATTGGTCGGACCGATGTTATAAACCCGTTCAAAGTTGGTTTTGATAACCCATCGACGTCTAATATGATGTCGAACTCCTATCAATCTCAGGCTGTTGTGTAATTGTGAAGTTCGAGCTGTCGAGCTCAGGCTATCGAATTGTCGAGCTTAAGTTGTTTTGTTGCTAAGCTTAGGCTTACGGACTTTGCAGAATTGAACCATATGATGTCAAAAGTCTCCAGAGATGGCGTGTAAATCACTTTAGACGTTGTTCAAATGAGAAATTGTCATCAAACTTGTTAGAATCACTAAGGACCTGAACCCAAAAGATATTTTGTTGTCCATAGACCACTTTAGACGACGAAGGGTCATATGAGTACCATTAGATGTCAGCCTACTAGAGCATATAACGTCATATATGCTATTTTATCACTTAAAAAATCGCACGAGAGCTTTTTTTTCACTATTTTTGCACTTTCGTTGTTCTCAAGATTTCGAGCACAGTTCGACAACAAGTTCGACGGCCACCAAGGATAATTTCTACTTCATTTAACAAAAATTTTTCACATTCATTAAATGTTTTAGTATGATTTTTTTTTTCATTTTGATTGATTATTTTCGTGCATAGACACTGTTTTGAACAACATGGATTTCTCTTTTTAATCTCACTAGAGGCTACTCCTCTACTTCAGCATTGACATCGCCCTTAAATATATATGGTTCGTTTGGTTTTTGGTTTTTAATGTATATTGCACTTTATTTATAAATTGGTTGTTAGATTTATTGAGCTTACCTCAAACGGACAGATTACTGTCTAAAGACAGTAATTGGTCTTTAAACCAGTTAGTTTTTCCCTTTAGTTAATTGTTTCCGTTTTTTTCCAAAAACTCTATAAATAGAGTTCTCCCCCTTTTTCATTTGCGTTGTAAAAAGACATAAGACACATGCTATTACAGAGAATAAATAAAGTGCGTATTTTTCTTACCTCCGACAAAGTTTCTGTGCTGACCGTGCTTTTTCTTTCACCAAACATTCATGGCTACATCGGTTTGGAAGGCACCACTCCACTTCTCTTTCTAGTGCCTGGTAGAGCCTTAAGCTCTTTCCCTGGTAGGCACCAAACATTCATGGCTACATCAGCAATTTTACCCAAGAGATATTTTATCTCTCTCACTCCAAGTCAATTGAGCCTTTAACTCCTCGTATATGCAGTGGCCATATTTTAATAAGATTTCATCTTGGCAATTTATTCTTTGCAAAATTTTGGATACCACCGTAGTGGCTGTAGGAAGAAGATGGCAAGTAAAAGTATATTTTGGAACCATAAAGAAGATGGCAAGTAAAAGTATATTTTGAAGTTCATATATAAATAGATAAACCATATAATTGTTTTGATAATTGATTGTAGTTGAAATTCACGAGAGATATAATTGTTCAATCACAACATTTTTTTATCTAAAATTAACAAGAAGTGTTCATACTTGTCTAGTCACAACTTTAATTGTAAATCAAGAATATTTTATAGAGTTAGACAAAGTCATCCAATTGTATCTCAATTGGTTGATTAAAATAAAAGCACGTAATTTATCAAGAAATATAAAAGTATTTTTTGGTTAAATTAAAAAGTAGCTTTGTAAAGTAAGTGTTTAGTGATTTAGTGAAATTATCTTATATTAATGAATTGGGTTATTAAACTCTAGCTACATTAAATTTAACAAATTTTCAATTAAAATATGAACACACACCATATAATGTTGGACACATCTAACTAGAAACTGCCAACTTCTAAATAAATATCATGACAATGAAACCATAGACAATTTTTGTGCGCAAATATGAATTGAAAGCAATGGTTGAGAAGCGTGAAAAGTACTATCAAGGGCTATATTCACTGTTTGACTTCTGTCTTTTTGGATATGAAAAATCTTGAGAGTTCCATCAACTTGTTTGACGAAATGCTAATTGTTTCTAGTTTTCTAATTTTTTTATCAAATCATTAACTCATTAATTTAATTTACTAATATGATCTAATAATTACCTCATAATGCTATCCAATTAGAATTTATTGCTACTACTCTTATCCAATTAGAATTTATTTTAGGACAAATTTCTTCTATATTCTAGCTTCTTTTTGTCTTTTTCCCTTTTGTTACATTTGTACACAAATTCTACTAATTGAGAATATTTTATTTTGTTACTATTCTGCATGTATAACTCTATGTATGACATTTACTAATACTTCTAATTACCCAAGTATATGATTTAATATTTTTGCAATTATTAGGTAGATAGTTAAACAACAATTATCATCATTCATCATGGACCCAGTTGCTCTTAGCCATTAGAATGATCAATATATACTCATGATTGTTGGTGTTTGTTGGATGTCTTTATGGTCTCATTAATCACTCTTGAAATTTGTGCTTCACATTTTACATTCTCTCATCTATTTACATATTTTGCATCTTATTAATTACATAATGTTGCTTTGCGTCATCTTCATTTCAAGGTTATAACTTTAAAACATAGTGTTGAAAAGTGGATAAATCTATTCTTATGAAATTATTTTAATTTTAGTTGAAGAGAAAGTGATAATATATTCAAATAAACTTTCAATATATTTAATCTTATAAAACTTTGTTTTAAAAATTTTATATATTATATATTAAGAAATCAATTTATCTTTAATCGATTTGAAAATTTTAAATGATAGAATCTTGTGTTATTTTTCAAACAAATACACTTTTTTTAATTTACTTTCAAACCCAAGTTAGCTAATAAAGTTAAGAGTATATATTACTTGAGATTTTCTAGAAAAAGAAATTGAGATTTTGTTTACAAATATCACAATAATGTTTTTTTTAAAACAAATCAAACAAATAATTGTTTTTAGATTACAGTATTTCAGCACCAACTTCCAATTTTGTAATAACTCAGCTCAGAAATTTGTTGAAGGGTCGTTATCATCAACATAAAGTACGGTACATGTTCAATCACTATTTATAGGTAATTTATTACTTATATATATATTTATATATATATATATATATATATATATATATATATACATATATATATATATGTATATATATACATATATATATATATNACTTCAGCATTGACATCGCCCTTAAATATATATGGTTCGTTTGGTTTTTGGTTTTTAATGTATATTGCACTTTATTTATAAATTGGTTGTTAGATTTATTGAGCTTACCTCAAACGGACAGATTACTGTCTAAAGACAGTAATTGGTCTTTAAACCAGTTAGTTTTTCCCTTTAGTTAATTGTTTCCGTTTTTTTCCAAAAACTCTATAAATAGAGTTCTCCCCCTTTTTCATTTGCGTTGTAAAAAGACATAAGACACATGCTATTACAGAGAATAAATAAAGTGCGTATTTTTCTTACCTCCGACAAAGTTTCTGTGCTGACCGTGCTTTTTCTTTCACCAAACATTCATGGCTACATCGGTTTGGAAGGCACCACTCCACTTCTCTTTCTAGTGCCTGGTAGAGCCTTAAGCTCTTTCCCTGGTAGGCACCAAACATTCATGGCTACATCAGCAATTTTACCCAAGAGATATTTTATCTCTCTCACTCCAAGTCAATTGAGCCTTTAACTCCTCGTATATGCAGTGGCCATATTTTAATAAGATTTCATCTTGGCAATTTATTCTTTGCAAAATTTTGGATACCACCGTAGTGGCTGTAGGAAGAAGATGGCAAGTAAAAGTATATTTTGGAACCATAAAGAAGATGGCAAGTAAAAGTATATTTTGAAGTTCATATATAAATAGATAAACCATATAATTGTTTTGATAATTGATTGTAGTTGAAATTCACGAGAGATATAATTGTTCAATCACAACATTTTTTTATCTAAAATTAACAAGAAGTGTTCATACTTGTCTAGTCACAACTTTAATTGTAAATCAAGAATATTTTATAGAGTTAGACAAAGTCATCCAATTGTATCTCAATTGGTTGATTAAAATAAAAGCACGTAATTTATCAAGAAATATAAAAGTATTTTTTGGTTAAATTAAAAAGTAGCTTTGTAAAGTAAGTGTTTAGTGATTTAGTGAAATTATCTTATATTAATGAATTGGGTTATTAAACTCTAGCTACATTAAATTTAACAAATTTTCAATTAAAATATGAACACACACCATATAATGTTGGACACATCTAACTAGAAACTGCCAACTTCTAAATAAATATCATGACAATGAAACCATAGACAATTTTTGTGCGCAAATATGAATTGAAAGCAATGGTTGAGAAGCGTGAAAAGTACTATCAAGGGCTATATTCACTGTTTGACTTCTGTCTTTTTGGATATGAAAAATCTTGAGAGTTCCATCAACTTGTTTGACGAAATGCTAATTGTTTCTAGTTTTCTAATTTTTTTATCAAATCATTAACTCATTAATTTAATTTACTAATATGATCTAATAATTACCTCATAATGCTATCCAATTAGAATTTATTGCTACTACTCTTATCCAATTAGAATTTATTTTAGGACAAATTTCTTCTATATTCTAGCTTCTTTTTGTCTTTTTCCCTTTTGTTACATTTGTACACAAATTCTACTAATTGAGAATATTTTATTTTGTTACTATTCTGCATGTATAACTCTATGTATGACATTTACTAATACTTCTAATTACCCAAGTATATGATTTAATATTTTTGCAATTATTAGGTAGATAGTTAAACAACAATTATCATCATTCATCATGGACCCAGTTGCTCTTAGCCATTAGAATGATCAATATATACTCATGATTGTTGGTGTTTGTTGGATGTCTTTATGGTCTCATTAATCACTCTTGAAATTTGTGCTTCACATTTTACATTCTCTCATCTATTTACATATTTTGCATCTTATTAATTACATAATGTTGCTTTGCGTCATCTTCATTTCAAGGTTATAACTTTAAAACATAGTGTTGAAAAGTGGATAAATCTATTCTTATGAAATTATTTTAATTTTAGTTGAAGAGAAAGTGATAATATATTCAAATAAACTTTCAATATATTTAATCTTATAAAACTTTGTTTTAAAAATTTTATATATTATATATTAAGAAATCAATTTATCTTTAATCGATTTGAAAATTTTAAATGATAGAATCTTGTGTTATTTTTCAAACAAATACACTTTTTTTAATTTACTTTCAAACCCAAGTTAGCTAATAAAGTTAAGAGTATATATTACTTGAGATTTTCTAGAAAAAGAAATTGAGATTTTGTTTACAAATATCACAATAATGTTTTTTTTAAAACAAATCAAACAAATAATTGTTTTTAGATTACAGTATTTCAGCACCAACTTCCAATTTTGTAATAACTCAGCTCAGAAATTTGTTGAAGGGTCGTTATCATCAACATAAAGTACGGGACATGGCACACGTTTTAGTTAGGAGTTGAGGGAGTATAGGGAGGAGAGAGAGAGAGAAGGGATGAGAGGGAGAGAGAAGAAAGGGGGAGAGAGAGAGAGGAGAAGAGAGCGAGAGAGATGGAGAGATGAGACAGAGAGAGAGAGAGGGAGAGCAGAGACAGGAGATATAGTGATAGATGATCTGTCGAGAGATACAGATATAATAATAGAGAGAGATACAATATGATAGACAGATACATATATATAAATAGTACATTACATATATATATATATATATACATATATGTATATATAGTGTGAAGATTAAAGAGAAGCGGCTATAAAATGAGTCTTATATTTTCTTTTGCTGACAGTTTTAATTCAGAGACAGAAGAAAATAACACAGAATGAGCAGAAGAAAGGGTTCTGCGTTTTCATCTGCTTCAACTGCTGAACAAGTTACTGAAGGAATCGATGCCACTGCCCTCACTGCTATTGTTACAGGTGTTTACTTCTTTTTCTTCTTTTTAACAAATCGATGTTTCAATTTTCTCTTCCTGGTATGTATATCATGTTGCAAATTTTGGAATCTGTTTTTCATTTTGTTTGTACATTTATGTTGTTGTTGACAATGAGAACAAACAGGTGCAACGAGTGGTATTGGCAGTGAAACTGCTCGTGTTCTTGCGATGCGTGGTGTTCATGTAATAATGGCGGTCAGAAATTTGGTTACTGCAAAAGATGTAAAAGAAGCAATACTTAAAGAGATTCCTAATGCTAAACTTGATTACATGGAGTTAGACCTTAGTTCAATGGCATCTGTTCGAAAATTTGCATCGGACTTCATTTCATCTGGCCTTCCATTGAACATTCTTGTGTAAGTATTATCAACTTCTCACATTGAGACTTATTTGAATTATTGATCAATTTTTTTATTTAAAAAAAACAATACTAGCTGTAAGTATGAGTTAATGATATCTATTTTAAGCTAGTTATAATTTATTATATAATTTACTCAACCAATTAATGTATATGAGAATAAAATATAATTAGATATAATAGATAATATATATAATTAGTTATTTTGTTTCTCTTATTGAATATTGCTTTCTTTTTTATTTGTGGATATATATTTTGCTTCAATGAATTCTTTTAACTTTTTATGTGAAATAGAAGTGATTATCTGCATTTATTTTAATAAGATGTTTTTTTTCATGTGAATAAAAATTCTAACTATATTTATGTAAAATGAAAATAATTATTTACAATAATAAGGAAATATTTGTGACATGTAAAGAAGAATAAGGAAGATCGAATGGATAGGTTTGGGTCAAAGGTTAAGATTGACTGACTCATGACGAAGGTCGAGAAGGGTCAATCAAGTCAAAGATTGAGATTGACTAGTCTCAATTGAGATGGACTGATCTAAACTAAAGGTTGAGATTGATCAGTTTGGGTCAAAAAGGCCGGACTAAGGCTAAAGGTTGTGACGAGTGGATCGAGTCAAATATTGAAACAAATCAATTAAGATCAAAGGTCGAGATGGATTAGTATGAACTGCAAGTCGAAATAAATAAACCTATATCGTAGGTTGAGTTGGTTTGTAGGCCAAAAGTTAAGACAAGTTATCATGGGCCTAAGATTGAGATTAATAATTGTGTTTTTTGAGTGGTTATTTAACTCATTCTCATTTGAGATTTATTTGAACTATCATCCATATACTAGTACTTATTAGATACATGTATAACTTAAATTGGATGTTGATATTATATTTTTGTAAAATGGTTAGAGCATCCCAAATGCTTTGTTATTATATTTATTATTCTTTGTTTGTTGATAGAAAAAAAAACATGAAAAGGAGAAAAGAAGAAATAAAGGAAGAAGAAACTATTTGCTAATAGAATGTTTCAAATAAGAATCAGTTACACAAATCACTAAAGAATACAGGTTTATAAAGAGAAGCAAAGGCCAACGGATATAGAAAACATAACAAAAAAACCAAAAAAATTAGATGATGTAATAGCCATTATCAAACCAAACGACATAATGTCATTGTCTAGAATTTCAATATTTTCTAATGTTTTTATGTTGATATTGTCTGAACTTTGATTCTGTTTAATACTTTTATGTTAGTGTCATCTATAAGGTTTTAATATGTCTGATATTTTAATGTGTTGTGTTAGTAATTCGGGTTTTATATATATATATATATATATATATATATATATATATATATATATATATATATATATATATATATATATATATATTATATATATATATATATATATATATATATAATAAATAAATAATTAAACATGTTATGGTTATTATATTATTAAATATTAAAGTGATTTAATTAATTATATTTATAGCTAAAAGATATATGTTATGAAATATTAATCGTGTAAATATTATACATAATATTCTAATTTGAGGTGGTTCAAATTAAGAATAGTGATTTTTATAAAAGATAATCAACAAAAATTACATATAGAGGTGATGATCCACGTATGTAAGCATGTACGTATTATTACTGTTTTTTTTTTTTCTTTATCACGTTGTAGAGAAAATCAAGAAAAAAAATCTAGAATGTTCTATAGTTGAAAGATTAAATACTTTTTATCTATCTTGTTCTTGATGGCCATTGACTACATATACTTTCGTTTACTATTCTATGAGCTAACGAGGATTGCTTCATTAATGAAAAGTTTATTACTCATTATTATTAATCTAACAATTTGGACAATAGCCATCATTTAGAGCTTTGAAATATTGTATGATATTTTGATGGTTGTGATACTTTGATTTTGTTGAAATTCTGAAAGTCAACTTAAGATAATAACTCCAAACATGTGAGTATTACACATGGGATTAGGTTTTTATTTATAAGAAATTATTTGCATATGTGAGCTATAATGATGTCTATTTTAAGTTCAATTACATTTTGACGATTGAAATAGCTTGTTGTGATAATTGAACGTGGAAAAATTGAGTAGATATACAATAATAAATTCTCTTTATATACATTTATATTTGTTAGTTTATAATTTATCAAAAACTTTTCACACTCTTACATTTTTCATTCTTCATCCGACTATGAATTGCATCGTCTTATGCAATGCCTATTCAGTCTTATACTGATAAATATATTAAAACTATACTGATATTGCGCTTTATTTCTTGCAATTTAAGAAACAATGCAGGAATATTTGGAACCCCTTTCACGCTGTCTGAGGACAATATTGAACTGCAATTTGCTACGAATCATATAGGTATGTAGAAACTATACAATGTAGTCCTTCTAAAACCTCGTAATATATAGTTAGGGATAGTTTAAAACATAATGTGACTCTTTCCGAGACAGTTAAAGAGTCTAAAATACACTTAATAAACTTAAGAATGATATTTTTTTTAACATTATTTTAAAAACCTAAAACAATTAATATTAAAAAAAATTTAAATTTATTTTTAAAGTCTAATAATTAGTATTGAAAAAATATTTTGGGATCTTTTTTATAGGTTCAAAACAAAGAGTCGATCTAGAATCTTCTAATTTGTTTTGTTTATATATAATGCAGGGCATTTTCTTTTAACAAATCTGTTGTTTGATACTATGAAGAAAACAGCACATGAAAGTAAGCGAGAAGGAAGAATTGTTAATGTCACTTCTTGTGCTCATCGATTATCTTATCGTGGAGGAATCCGTTTCGATAAAATTAATGATGAATCAAGGTAAGAAGTTGTCCCAATACAAATTATGATAAATTAATTATGCGAAAATTTTCTTTTTCTTTTTTTTTTGGAAGATGGATTTATCTATTAAAAATCAACCAATCACATAAAAAATTGACACAATTTTCAATCTAAAATTTTAATGCAATAGTTAATGAGTTTTTACTTTTATATAATATTTTATTTTATCATTTTTATTTAATGTGACTTAAACTCAATTCCCAATACTTTTAAATAGTGAGTCAATTCAGTCCGTCATTGAAAAAAATGTAATTTTTTATACGGGTTAGTTTTCAACCTGGTTCACACCGGCTCATTCGGGTTGAACCTTTGATGAGCCGGATTAATTTACCAACCTATCAAATTTAATTTAATTATTTATTATTTTGTGTTTCAATATTATTAATTAACATTTCTTTTATTACGTTATAGATGAGAGATAAAAAAAGATGTTTCAAGAGAAAAAAATATAATAGATTTATCTAATATTCTAATTAATTAATATTATAGTGTTACGCAGGATACGGGTTTTATGTTGTTCATTATTTCTGGTTCTTTGTGCACAGTTATAGGAAATTTTGTGCATATGCTCAGTCAAAGCTTGCTAACGTTTTACATGCCAATGAACTTGCAAGACGTCTTAAGGTATGTTAATATCTATGGTATTGCATCATAATTCATGTTTGTTGTATCCATTAGTTTATCTAAATTTCTATGAAACATGGTAATTTACTTGTTTAATATGGTGAGCAGGAAGATGGAGTAGATATTACTGCTAATTCTGTTCATCCAGGAGCCATTATCACCAATATTGATCGTTACTACGTTCACTCTGGTAACTACAATAAAGCTTAGTTGCTACATCAATCCACGTTGTTTTCAGCTTTCTATTTCTTTCATTTCTTTTCAGCAATTGTTTCTGCAAGTGTATTTCCATGAATGAAAGTTGCATGCATATGTTTTATGCAGGACTTGCAGCTATACTTAAGAAGTTTATAGGTTTTGCATTTAAAAATGTCGAACGGGTAAGTTAGTTAAATTAAACATTAAATATGTTTTTATTTTTTAACTTTAAGTAAAAATTGAAAATAGTATATTTTAAAATTTTTGATCTAATTTAGTTATCTAACTTTAGAAATATATGAATTTAATCTTTTTAACTAAATTTTGTCAAGTTTATTTAACATTTTAAATACGTTTTGTGATAGTATTTGAGTTGTTTTATAACCTTTTAACTTAGAAACATGTTTAAAATACTAAATAAACTTAATAGACTTTGGTTAAAATGACTAAATCTACAGTTTTAAAAACTAAATTGGTCTAAAGTTTCGAAAAGGAATAAATTTTAATTTTTAAAGTTAAAAAACTAAAAACATAATTAACTTTTAAATTAATACGGTCTATTTACATATAATACATCTCTCTAAAGGTTTTCTAAATTATATTTTAAATTAGTCAGTAACCTATTTTAATGAAAAGGCATTAATTTTTCCTTTATCTTGTCCGATGTTTTTGCAGGGAGCATCAACAACGTGTTATGTAGCATTGCAGCCTGAAGTTAAGGGAATTAGTGGAGAGTATTTTGCAGATAATAGAATGGCGAAAGTAGGGTCAAAAGGAAGGGATATTGAGTTGGCTAAGAAACTCTGGGATTTCAGCATGAATTTGATCAACTGAGTACTTTGTGTCAACGTTAATTAGAGTGCACATTTCAGCCCTAAAACTTTTTAATTCATGCTCCAAAATTTGAATGCACGAGGAACGGGGTAAAAGAAAACAACACATTTGTCATTACTTCTAGCCTTTAAGCTTCTTCAAATCTCAGTTCCTGAAATTTTTTTTTGAAGTATTTGTTGTTATATAGCCTAAAAATGGTGATATGATGCTTTAAAGTTGACAAATGTAAATTAATCATGGTATAAGACAAAATAGATCTCAATTATGATAAAGTTGATAAGAAATAGACTATAAACTTAACTCAATCACACGACTTTAAATCTAATTCAATCTTACAAAACTAACATGTGAGATAAGGTTTGTACGCATTTATATTATAAAGGTTTAATCATTCACAAAGTCCCTATTTTCGCGTGGAATCTCAATTAGGTCCCGTTGTTTTTGAAAATCTCAATTGGGTCCCAAATTTATGAAAATTGCAACAATTGGATCATTTCCGTTAAATTGTCTCCAATGGTGTTAGTGTGTGTTTGACGTGACACGCTGTAGTCAGTTTCTTAACTGACGTTGCTGACTGAAGCAGGGACAGCTGAAGCACGTGAATGATTAAACCTTTTTGCGTTATATCACTCTCGGTGTTATACCACTCTTTGCAAACCAAAGAAATCGAGCTTTTGTCCTTTCAAGATTTCAACATCCCTAGAATTCTTTCCAATACCTCATAAGGAAAAGTGGAGTTTGATTTTGGATTATCCCTCTTTCTCCTACACTCCATCTTCAACTCAAGAATAAAGAGACAAAAAAAGAGCCAAATTTTCCGACACCGTGTGGATCAACAATGAGATTTTTAAGCAGCCACCTTGTCAAATTATGGTAAAGCAACCATGAAAAAGGAAGACTCAAACAAAGTGAACTTAAGGAGCAGAAAAAGAAACGCGTACAAGGAAAAAGGGTTTGCAGAGAGCAGCAAATTGTCAATGACAATAAATAATTCCCAAAAAGAAAGTGTAAAAGCAGTGAAAGAAAAGAAAGAAATTTGCTGAGTGAACTCTCCAAAGTTGAAAAAGAACCTGCTGCTATGTACCCTTCACTGTTGACTACAAAGGTACCTGCTTTCAGCCATGTTTTCTCTTTGAACACAAGAAAACAACAAAATTTAAGAGCATTCGGAACTGAAACAAAAATTTGGAGACCCAAATGAGCTTGATGGAATCTGCGATCCGTTAAGAGGTGGAAGGAGATCCAGAAGGTATATATTTATATGGGTGTATGTGAGAGGAGGAAGGAGACAGAAAAGGTTAGGTCACTGAAAATTGGGATCTTTTTCCCTATATAGAAACTTCTCAAATCACTTCTATGACGACAACTGCACATACTCTGTCAAGGTCAACTTGGATTAAACCCTAAATCCCCAAAATGATACACCAATTTGTGAAATGGAATGAACAGTGGACGAACCCTAAAAATACTCAGAAGAATCTCAATCCCTAATTCGATCAAATAAAAATCAGAATCCCAATTTTGGTTTAAAACTTTCATTTTCTGTTTACTTAAAAAATTTTATTATCCACGTGCTTCAACTACCTCTGCTTCAGTTAGCCACGTCAGTTGAAACTGACTACAACGTGCAACGTCAAACACACACTAACGCCGTTGGAGACAATTTAACGGAAAGGATCCAATTGTTGCAATTTTCATAAATTTGGGACCCAATTGAGATTTCCAGAAATAACGGGACTAAATTGAGATTCCATGCGAAAATAGGGACTTCGTGAATGATTAAATCTATTATAAATTGATCTTATTTCTAATAGACGTGGGACTTTTAATAATTTCTAATTTAAATTCTACATGACAGTGGTTTAGAATAATGGTGAGACTAGTTAAACAAAATACAATGGTGTGAATTGTTATTTTATTTCTTAATTTGTCTACTACTTTACATTTTTGGATGAATGAACTCAAATTAAATAAAATCTAAACTTAGTTAAAAGTTAATGCAGTCAAAAATTTACTTTGTGGATGTGTTGTGAGTTAAAAAATTCAATCCAATTAAAATCAAGAGTGAATTCATGATTTATATTTAAACTGAAATTATTTTTAATATATTCACATGTAAAAGTTGGTTTCAAAATATCAATAGGTAAACCGAACTTAGATAAAGAGTGATGTAAAACTATTTGGAGAGATCGAGAGATGCTAAAATAGTCAGTATTACCTTGTAAGTAATACAAGAAATTCGTAAAAAAATTATGGGGAGATGTCAATTTTAATGCTTGAAAAAACATTTACTTTAATATGTGTAGCTATAGACATATTTAATCATTACCTATACACAATTTTAATCTAAATTTTAAATAAGATTATAGAAATAAGTTTATAAATATGTAATAACACGCGTATCACAAGTTTATAGTTATGAATAAAAAGAGTCGTAACCTACAGATAAGCTTACAAAATAATTTTAATCCATTAAACATTGCATAAGATTGATGCAATTAAAGGAAGAAAGATAGTGAGAGTGTATTTCTACAAACAAAAGGAAGATTTGCAGTAATTTAACTTAAATAGAAAAGACTATATAAACCATATGGCAGATACGAAGCTGCTTCGCTATTAATAATCACTTTAACTAACTTTCTAAACCCAACAATGCAAGAAAATAAATATTTATATAAGTAAAACTTAGTGTTAATAAGTAAAAGTCGATATTAATAAATAATCATATTTTAAATTCTAAAATTGTATATTAACACAAAATTCACTAGTATTGACTTTGAAGACCGACTTAAAATAAGTTAAATCGATTTTATGTAATATTAACTAATTAAATTTTAAACTTATAATGTATTTATAGAGTTGAAGATATTGTGTAAAGAGTTTTTTTTTTTTACTTTCCAAACTTCTTCAATTTGGTACTCGTCTTTCAAACCTCTTTTGTTCTTCTGGTACTCGTTCTTTACATAATGAGTTCTTTTGTTTTTATATGCAGAAGACTCTCCAAAGCTCAAATTAATGCTTTGAGTCAGAAATTCTGGTCAAAGTATGGTTAATGCAAAAAGTGAAGTTAAAACTCAATTAAAGTAATATTTATAAGAATATTTTACTAACCATGGATCTTTACTTGTATGGACCTCAATGATGGGTCCATTGGCCTAATGGTCCTTTTACTTGTGGTGATGTGCAACTAGTTTTGACTAAGTTAAGTGGTATGCTAACGTTTTTTGACGAACAAGGATAGGTATAGGTAGGCGACACTCAGCTCTAATGAGGAGCGTGTCCATCAGCGGATGACACCTAGTCTTTGGTTTGGGCACTAATACAGTCAGGGGAAACAACAACGGTTATTTTCACCTATAGACAGCGATTTTGGAACCGAGACATATACAGGCGAGGCAAAAGGAGTACGATTTTACCTCGGTTCAAAAGTAACCGAGGCAGTAAGATTTTGCGCCCTTTTTTCTTTTAAGGACTTTTCGCCTCGGTTCTCTTTTGAACCGAGGCAGTATCTTGAAAAAATTAATAAAAAAAACTAGCCAATAAAATAAATTTAATACTCAAACTCATTTTCAAATTTACTACCTTTATACGGTATTGCCTTTGTATTCCCTGCAAGCAAAGATTCCTAAAACAAAGAATATTATATAATCAAATACACTACTTATAGACTTACCTATATTATCTAATTCTCTAACTTTCAACACTGGAATCCCACATTGAACTGCTGTTTAGGACTCTAAGTTACAAGTGCAAGTAACTTCCAATCTTAAAGAAAAAACTATATATTATGCAAAATCGAACTCAACAATGGTGATGGTTGTGTACAAGTCAGGTTCTGTCGTTAAGGAGTAGTTGAATTGAACATATCTACTCTCATGGCCTTGTAATATGCATCTTCTGCATTTGCCAACCGACTCTGGAACATTGTCCATTCCTTTTTACACCTCTCCCTCACCTACCACCAACACCATGGACATGATTCATCAACATGCATATTACTATTTAGTAATCGAAGTATTTGAATAATATAACAAGTATAATGTTCAACAACTATGCAAGCAAAACATTATATAGATGTGAGAAAGAGAGATAAAATTGTATGAAACAGGTATAATATAACATACCCCTTGCCATGGTGCCTTCCCAGATTCTGATTCTCCCTAAAAAAAACACAGAAAAACATGCATATCGTACATCGACAATAAGAGTGCAACTAATGAGACTAACATCAATAACCATAGAAACATGCATATGGTAAATCTTACCTGATTAAGATGCAACCCAGAGCTCAAAAGCTCATTTGGAAGAGAGCAATCAATTTATACATCAAGAAAATGTTTACACAACA